CAGAAAATTTTACTTGATCTTTCCAGAAACTGTGCGATGCATTTTTTATCCACTTCACGCCGATAACAGACTGAGCTGGGACGAAGGTAGGTCGACTACGTCAACAAACGGATTACCATCTGACAACACACGGATCATGTGTAGAGCAGACTGGAGTGTGCAGGTGCATGTACAGGATGGAGTGTGGCAAGGTCCATGATTGATGCTCGGACAGTGCGGACGAATTATCAAAGCTGCCGATCATTGTAAATAACGTGTGCATGGGGCGCTTAAGCGTTGCCGTTATCAGCAAGTAGTTTGGTGCTAAATGTCCTGAGCAGTAACGGTCTTGCCAGCAACGAGGGACGATCTTCAAAAAAGTTCATGCTGTTCACGTTATTTAAGGCTCATTATTGTGATGTGGCCTTTTTGCCGGAATCCCACTTCAATGATTGATTTCAGCATACACTTGTACCGGAATGGGTCGGCGACTGATTTTTCAGTAACGGTATAAGTGACAGCGGAGGAGTACGTATCTTTTTCATACCGGCCCGGGATTGAGAAGTGACGGAAATTTGAACCAATGAAGGAGGTGGTCTTGTTTTCTTAAAAATTGCCGCTGCAGGCAAAGCAATTCTGTGAGGCAATATTAATTGCCCTAACAAAGATCGCATTGACTGAATGATGCGGATTAAGAGCTGGTTAAGTGAAATGCAGATCGACAGCACAAGTTTGACCGGTGGCTTTAATGTAACGATGGACGCGCCTCAAGATTCAGATTGCCCAAACCAGACATAGGTGCGTGACTGCTGCAAACGTAGAAACGAAAGCGCTAAAGGGGTCTTAAAGGAGTTTACCCGTATTGATGCGTGGCTTATTCAGGTTCCATGCGCAAGACAACTAAGTTTTTCAGGGGACCCCTCTAGACTGCTGTTCTTTTCTTGGAAAAAAACGAAAAGCGAGATTATGGGCCACTCCGTCCATGTTATTAAGCCACTCCACGGTCACAGGCGTGCTTTCTGACAAGGCTGATCAGATTCAGAACGCGTACATTGTCATCAATACTAAGCTTTACAAACGGATACCACGAGACTTTTCTGAGGCTTACAAATTCTGGGAAACGGTGGAGAAAATCACTGATGCACAACGCGAATAGTGCGAGCTGCAAATTGCAGCTGCCGAATTAACAGCAGCGCTCGCTCCCTTAAAACCGAACACGTCACCCGCCCGCCCATTGTGGTTGGGCAGCGGCATTCTTCAAAGTCGTCTGGGATCTTTTTAGCCACTTGTTTTTGGGAATGCTGAACAAAATTTATGAGCAAGAGATTTCAACTGTTATTTACCAGAAGCATAGCAGCATTGATCCCAAAAAGTAACATGATTAGAAGCACGTTTAAAACTTGAGACCCATTGTCTTTTGCCTGCACCCTATAGAATTCTTGTAAAAACAATGGCTTTGCGGCCCCAAAGACGTTGCAGATTTCTTGATTAAACTCAGATTCAACTAGTTTCCTAAAAGGCCGCTACATTTGCGAGAAAATCAGGCCTATTCTGAACATAATGGGGTACGTAGAGCGCAGCAAAATGAAAGAGCTGCTAGTTCAATGCGATTTCTTTCAAGCGTACGACTGCATAAGCTGGGATTATGTAAATGAGCTGCTCAGAGCGTCGGGTTTCGGACCTAGCTTCCGACGGTGGATGTCCGTCTTTTACCCCACTCAAGTGCACAGTGCGCGAATACATGTTGATAATAATTTGTCTCCTGAGCTTCACATAGAACGTGGAATAAGACAATGGTGCCCATGTGGTTGTGTGCTTTCTGTATTATGCATTGAGCGAATGTTGCAACAAAAAAATCGGACAAGCAACGCTATTCGAGGCTTTAAGGTTCCTGAGGCTGAAAATAAGCAATCAGCTCATGCGGATGGACTGTCAGTGATCTTAGACGGGTCGGAGGACTCAATAAGAAATACGGTGACTATTGATAAAGCTTTGCGTAGAAACTGGGCTCAAATTAAGCTTTGCAAAAACTGTCTGCGCGTGGATTGGTGCCGCTAATAACCAGCAAGCCAACGTATGTCAAGATTTAAACTTAAAATTGCATGAGATAGTAGATGCGCTTGATCTCCTGTGAACAAAAATCCCTGTTTGTACTAATAACACGACTGAATTTGGCTACATAGATAAAAAAGATCGCATTAAAAAAGTCATGTCCACATGAAATCCAAAAATTTGACACTGTTCTGGCCTACTACTTTTTGTGAAGACACTCTTGTTATCTAGGCTCATATATTTGTTCTCTGTACTGGAGACCCCAGCAAAATCATGCATGCTGAGGCTGGAACAGCTCTTAGTTAAATTAGGGAAGGGGTGCCAAAAATCAAACGTTTCCAAAGAAGCAGCCTTAGAAGGCGGTATTGGAGCTTTGGGTGTTGAATCAGTTCCTAGCGCGCTCGAAGTGACCTGGTTTAAAATATTTTTGACCCTACACGTTAGTTGAAAGTAATTTCTAACAAGGAGTTTCATATTGATAGCAGATTAAACATTTTGAGATGCGTCATTGGAGGCTGGCAGATTCGGATTAGGAATCTCACTGACTTCTGGGATCAGGCCCGAACGGCTTCGGTTCAACTTCAACGAAACGGAAACGCAGAGAACGAACGATTATCGCAGTCATTTCTTAAACTGTTTCTTAGACCTTGAATCACGCATGCCACGTGGACAATTGCGGTTAATGGAGAGAAACAAGTTACATTTGCCAAACACCTGTCCAACTTTTCCGCCAAAGGCTGGTTCACAGTTAAGGAACTAAAGCAAGAGTTGGGTAACCTAGATGTTATGACGCGCAACACCATGATCAGCAATATGACCAAAGCATGGCCATCATTGCAACGACCTTTAAAAGTACCAGCTTCCTCGACGGCAGTATCACAGCTGGGATGTGTGAAAAAATGCTACGAAATGGACATATAAAGATCTGTTGGTCCCTAAACTTGTTGCATACTGCTAATGCGAAGCGAAATGGAACACTCGGAGATTTGCGACGTTCTTCAATGAAACGAGCTGACCAGCCATTTAATTGCGAACGCAAAAAAGCATTGAACTTAGGTGGTTTCAATTCTGCATGTGGCACATAATTGTTCCAATTCATAAACCAAAAAAATACCGTACCGTGGTAACGACAGGTGCACCTTTTGCAAGGACGAAGTAAAATCAGCATTATATTCGACGGTTAATTGTTGAGCAGTTCAGACATTTTGGCATTAGGTGTCTAGTGCTTGCAAGGGAGGTAGTGGGAATATCGGCTATTGGTATTTACGACTGTCTTCCTTCTTTTTTGGAATCATGCCGGCGGTGAAGGCGATTTCAACCTGTTTTTGTTGTTGACCGAGTTGTTCATTTGGAAACAAAATAAGCGTGAGAGTTATCTGACTGTTCCATAGCTTTGGATGCATTTAATGTTATTCGAAAGAGGGCACACGTATGTTCATGTAATGCAAGGTAGAGGTAAGGAGTTCATGGTACTGTAGAGCGCGCCGGAAAAAAATGATGAGTGCGTTGTAGTAGACTGCATCTATGAAAATGAAAGGGAGCGGTCTACATCTGTATGGTGTTTTGACCTGAAATGGCAATTTTGAGTATAATTCGGTGCAGTTTACAAACCCTCTCTTCTGAAGACCTAAACCATTCTAGTTTCTGAGCTACGCTCCCGCGAACATGTGCAAACTTTTTCGGGGAGACTATTTCAAGGTCACCCAGGCATCCATGACGCCATAATAACGTTTTGTTGACCACTCAAATTCTGTCGTTCTATTGGCTATGCGGAGGCCAAGGCCAATACAGCTAAAATTGTCAAGTCGTTCCTATCTGGAGTTCATTGGCACAATTTCCAGCTATAACGGGCGTCAACTGGCTCACAATCAATGTTGTGCGAGGTACGATGGCGAAATCAAGCAACTAAATAGACAACTTGTCTTGTCTTGTCTAGAGCAGTCCTTTTCGGTTAAAATAATGTCAATTGTTTTAAGTTAGCGTATTTCATCATATCTGATGCTTGCTCCAATATCTTCAATTGTGGGACATTCCGGTTCATGTAAGCTTGTGGCGTTTTTCATGTGTACGCGTGCTCTTTATGAAAGAAAGCTAGACAAGACTACAGAAGGGCACCATATCGACAGGATATATGTTCAGTGAAAGCCTGAGGGAAACAGGAAGGAGAGAATGGACTCGAATCATAAAACTGACAACTGTCATTGTTAAATTGGGTGATGTGGACGATGACGATAGCCGTTATGTAATGGTGCTACTGGTGTTATCTTACGAAGTTAGCATAGTTAAGACAGTAGTATTAGTCTCATTCCTCGGCTAAAAACCAGGAGAATGGAAATATGGTTGAGTTGATATTTCGGCAACATGCCTTTATCGAAACAATAGCAGAAGTGAATCCACTTCTGTGGATTGGTGTAATGGTGTTACTGTTGTGAATCAAAATTGAATGCAGTCAGATCACAGAATCATGCCTTGATCGCACGAGCCTTGTGCCTCGATCGCAGAACTGAATTCAATCAGATTCAATCACAATCAAATTAAATTCGCTTCTGCTATTGTTTCGATAAAGGCCTGTTGCCGAAATATCAATCCAAGCGTATCTCTATTCTCCTCATTTTCATCTGAGGAATGAGATTTATAAGACTGTCTTATTTATGTGAATTATGTTCCTCGCTAATGCACTGAACAAATTGAGTTGGCATAGTGTTTTTTTTCAGTTAGATATGTGAATGTTAGAATGTTAAGATGAATAGAGTGATCCGATCTGTCAAACAAAAAAGGATTCCTGCAGCCCAGCCGCGGGCATCTGACTGGCCGGGCCGGTGCTGGTCCCAGCTGCGGGCCTCTGATTGGCCGGGCTGGGCTGGTGCGCTGCTGGTTCCAGCTGCGGACTTCCGAATGGTCGGGCCGGGCTGATGCAGTGCTGGTCACAGCTGCGGGCCTCTGACTGGCCGGGCCGGTGCTGGTTCCAGCTGCGGGCTTCTGACTGACCGGGCTGGGCTGGTGCGGTGCTGGTCCCTGCTGCGGGCCTCTGACCGGCCGGGCCGGTGCTGGTCCCAGCTGCAGGCCTCTGACTAGACGGGCCGGTGCTGGTCCCAGCTGCGGGCCTCTGATTGGCCGGGCCGGGCTGGTGCGGTGCTGGTCCCGGCTGCGGGCATCCGAATGGTCGGGCCGGGCTGATGCAGTGCTGGTCACAGCTGCGGGCCTCTGACTGGCCGGGCCGGGCCGGTGCTGGTTCCAGCTGCGGGCTTCTGACTGACCAGGCTGGGCTGGTGCGGTGCTGGTCCCTGCTGCGGGCCTCTGACTGGCCGGGCCGCTGCTGGTCCCAGCTGCAGGCCTCTGACTAGACGGGCCGGTGCTGGTCCCAGCTGCGGGCTTCTGACTGACCGGGCTGGGCTGGTGCGGTGCTGGTCCCTGCTGCGGGCCTCTGACTGGCCGGGCGGGTGCTGGTGCCAGTTGGAGGCCTCTGACCGCCCGGGCCGTGCTGGGCCGGTGCTGGTGCCGTCAGCTGCCGTGGGCGGTGACGGCTCGGCGCCCAGCCCCCGGCGACACCGCGAGCAGCCTCCCCGAAGAAGGCCTGCTCAGCGGGCCGCTCGATCGAGATAAGCCGAGGGCGCTTCACGCATGAGGACGGGCCGGACAGATGAGGTCGGCGGCGGCGCGCGGCCGAGCTCGGCTCGAGCCGGCGTGCGGAGGCCAGGCCAGCGGGCCGGCCGCAGCAGCGGACCAAACGGCTGACGCAGCAGGACAGCTGTCCTGCGGCCACACCTCCGCTGCTGCTGTCAAGGAAGCGATATGGGCATAAGCGGTGTTGCTTTGCACAATAGCTTACGGAACTTCTTTAATTTCAAGAGAGCAAGCTAACCTTGTAGTATCATCAGCAGCTTTTTACCGAAGTACCTAGTGTTCACTGGTCGTCTCCCATTATCATTTGCATTTTTTTCCCAGTTTTGGAACACAAAGATACAATTGCCGAACATGTCTGAGTCCAATTCCTTTTTCTGAGATTGAGCTGTCCTTGCGCCGCCGGGAGGAGGAGGAATGTACGATCCTCGTGGAGTCAACGTAAAGCATCTTCCAACCATAAAATGGTTGGTAAAACTCCACGTCATATGTCAGGTACTGATGACAAAATCGGGAACCTAGCCTGTGCTATGCAGCTTAGCAATGATGTTTGGAGCCGAAACAACGCACGGAATGATACCAGAGTGGGACTTTCCTCGCTTCATCTCCTCTAGGGCGTAAAATAACCTGAGCAGGCGGCACGCTCGAAGGCACCAGCATTTAATCGCTGATTAACTTCAGCTCTTTGTTGCAGAACTTTTAACGCGGAACAGAATCGCACAAATTCGCTTACGGAGGTTGAAGTGGCAGAGTCTATTAAAAATTTCGTGCTGGAAGAAGCAGAACAATGCTATTTCAAAGCACCTTCCCAACATGAAATGAACGCGATGGAAAATATTGAACGATATCCGTTTCCTTTGGTCCGTAGTGTTTCTATTTTCCAAAGTGCCGCGATAGCCACGTCATCATTGCATTCGGAATTCACCTCCCATTCTAGTGTCCGCAATGAAGCCATAACTTCGCGGTTGCCGCGAAACAAATCTGTGACAGGCGTGAAAGAACCATGAACCGAAGGATGCTGCAACTTTCCGCGCGTTTTAACAAAAAGTGTTTCCCATGGCTCCAATCAAGGCTGCAGAAACAATAACAATATTTTCGAAAACAACAAATATTTGTCAAAATATGGCTCCCAAGTTAAAAACACGTGGTGCTCTCCTTGTCTTTGAAAAAAAAAACGGAATGAAAGTCTATCAGTAATTCTCGTAAATACCCTTTTCGGCTGGAATTAAATCATTTTTGGGGAGAGGTCAAATGAAGGATGATCAAAAACATGTATCGACCAAAACATGGAACCTTCAGATGAGTTTACGTTCAATAACAATATGTTTCAAGGACCTGGCCGCAGAGGCCTAAATCTTATACAGCGGGCAGCTGTACTGTTCTAGAAGAAAAGCCTTGGAACCCAATCAACGACAGGCAGTCATGCCGGGAAATACATTGGCCCTGAAAATATCCCCATGTTTCAAAAAATGCTCAAATGTGATGCATGTCATATTCCAGCACCAAGAGATTCAATTCAGAGTGCTGACTTCGTTAAGTGAGTGATGGACTGTTATGTGTCGCAGTCTAACTGACCAGTCATAATGGACATTATCTTCACTCTCTGACTGATTCAGATGTGACAGACCGCCACCTGCCCGCGTCGCTCAGCTGCTGGGGTGATCGGCCCTCTGACATTGTGTCGCTAGCACCTCGGATCGCGTCCTATAACGCGCTTATGTAGATCGTGTCTTCGACGGGCGATGAGCAACTTGCCAAGAGACCATGATGAAACAAGGTGATTGGGTCGCAGCGTTGCGAGAATGTTAAGAAGACAGAGTCTACTAGTTTTCTAAGTTGACTTTTCTTGGAAGGAGCAGAAAATTCGTATTCTGCGAGAACGGCACCTCCACCCCAACCGATTCCGAACACTTTCAATATTGCCAATTCGCGCTGCATCTCCGGTCGTAATGCAATTGGCTAAAATGTTGCTTTTATAAAAGATCTTCCATGCCGTACTCGTCGCCTGCCGGGCTCGTATTGAGACCAAACTCTGCAGATTTTCACAGCGTAGAACTTCTGCAATAAACTCCAAACAAAAAAACTTCGGCAATAAAAAGCAAGTGACTGAATATGGCATTTCGCAGCATTCCAACCAGCCATTTAACTGAAATATAACTCGTCTGTCAGACCGTTGTTTGTCAGACCCGGGCTGTTTGACGTCACCCTGACGGACCGTCGTCTGTCAGACCCAGGCTGTTTGACGTCACCCAGGCAGACCGTCGTCTGTCAGACCCAGGCTGTTTGACGTCACCCTGACAGACCGTCGTCTGTCAGACCCAGGCTGTTTGACGTCACCCAGACAGACCGTCGTCTGTCAGACCCAGGCTGTTTGACGTCACCCTGACAGACCGTCGTCTGTTAGGCCCGGGCTTTTGGATGTCACCCTGACGGACGGTCGTCTGTTAGGCCCGGGCTGTTAGGCGTCGCCCAGACAGACCGTCATCTGTTAGAGCCAGGCTGTTTGGCGTCACCCTGACGGACGGTCGTCAGTCAGACCCGGGCTGTTAGACGTCACCCCGACAGACCGTCATCTGTTAGAGTCAGGTTGTTTGGCGTCACCCTGACGGACCGTCGTCAGTCAGACCCAGGCTGACGTAGGCGCAGCGGGCTGGTGTTGGACGTCATTGTGATGGGCCACCATCCTTCACACCTTGACTGGCGCTGTGATGACAGGCTGCTATCTGGCGACATCGCGATGGACCGCTGTCTGCCATACGCCAGCTGCCGTCAACGTGATGGGAATCTTCTTGCATTGAGATGCCACCAGTGTTCGTGACATCGTTTGTCATGGAAGACGTGTGCAAACTGTGGCTTACATCCCGGATTTTCTCCGCGTAGCTCGTCGAGTAGATCTGAAACATGAGCGGCTGGATATGCTTAGCACGCTCTGCACGCGTGATAAACACGGGCGATGGGACACGGGAATCACTTCTTTGGAGCAAACTTCATCGAGGTGTCACGCTCAGGCACGAACGCCCGTGGTCCATGGTCTACGCCCCGTGGTCCTGTAGCCAGCCGTTTACTGACGCGCCCGTCAACCTGGCCGTGAGAGCAGACATTGTGAGCAGACATCTTGTCCTTGTTGCCTGCCCTTGAGAGCAGACATCGTGCTGAATATCATGAATGGGAATGCGTATTTTTAGATAGTTGCCGTGTGCCGGCTGAGGGCATCGTCCGCCGACGGCAGGGAGTTTGCCGTCCGTCCACCAGGTGTCAGGACGGTCCGTCGGTAAGGTCCGGCCGGAGGGAGTGCGACGCGGAAGACCCGACCTCCTACAGATCCTCGGGACAATGTCTGCTTACCGCTCAGTGCGCGGCTCAAGTCTGCTTTAACATTCATGTTCTGATGAAGATGTGTGGTGGCCGGTTCACTAACATTGACATGATTTGGTGTCAATGAGGCACAGGACACGTGTCTGACGCGTTGGACCATGATGCTCGTCTGACTACCCTTTTCTCGTGTAATTCACGAAAACACTCGTGGTGTTTCTGACTGCCAAGCATGCATTTGGTCAGCCACGTGGCTCGGTGTTGATCTCTGACTGGTCAGCCAATTCAGAGGTTTGCAGCATTGATCATGTACAACCCTGAGTACACTTACAGGCGTGCAAGGAAGGGCTCAGAAAGATCAGGACGCTGAGAGGGTTATGACACTTCTTGGAATCCGAAAAGTCTGGAGTGCCCGCGAGAGCTCAAGAGCGAACATTGTTGGTTATATTTCAGATGACCGCCGTGAAAATATTTTTTTTTGAAATCCATTGGTATCCGTAGTGGTACAATGTTTCAAACCACATCCGTAACCATGCACGCGCCCAAATCATAGAGTATACAATGACACTAACAAAGGTAAAATAAACGCATGCGCCACACGAGTACAATAAAGCCATAAGCTCAAAGGAAAACATCATGAAAAATGCTCACATCATTATCCATCACGAGCGTTATTGCTAATAACCTATGCATAGCAACAGCTGTGTTCGTGTACAAGCACTAGCAATGGCAAGTGTAATGGGACGTGCATACTACAACGAATTGAGAGTGATAATGCCTCAGCCGGGACTATGAACGTTCAGATGTCATGGAGCGAGGCGGAAGGAAATGGTACTGTGCCGCCTCAGAATGCGGAATACGTACGTTACTCGTCGATTTATGCCATGCTGGAAAGACCAACGACGACGTTCTCACCGTGAGGCCTGCTGCATTGTGCGGCACGCCTTGATAGACTGTTCCCACCTTGCTTCAGAGCCTACGTGTCGTTGATGATCTGGGTCCGTGCGCCAGACGCGCTCTGGCATCAGGGGGATGATTACAGTGTGTCGGACGGCCATAAGTTTCAGTGTCTTGAAGATGTGCAATTTGATGCCATCTATGTGACGTGACCTTGCGTGTTTTCTCTTATCATCCATCTGTTC